TATATAATATATATAAATGATTAAACTATTAAAATATTAAACTATAAAATTATTAAACTTTACACTATTTATAATTTTTGCTTTTTGTTACTTAATTTATATATTTTCTTATTATATTATAATTATTTATCTCAATATATCTTTTTTAATATTCCGTAATTTTATATGTTCGAGTTTGAACTAAACATGCAATAACTTTTTGGAAATTTATAATTGATTTGTTTACAAACAACATTTGTTAATTTATCAAATATATTAAATTCTTGATTTAAAAAATTACCATGTAAAATGTGGAGTATAAATAAGAAGATAAAGTGATAACATTTCCTTTGCTTGCAGAAGAAAGAAGAGTATTTGTACTGTGAATTTCGAGCAGATTTTCTTCTAACATATTTGTACTTATATACGCACTTCTCTGCTAATTACAAATCTATTATCAAATTAGAAAGAATTATTATCAGAAATGAAAATACGAACGTTAATAAAATATAAGTTTAGTAAACTGCGTCACTTGTCTGTAAGTAAAAAATGTTCCTTTGTTCTAGAATTTCTCATTTTTTATCCAAATGTGTCGAATAATAATAAAATTAAATTATACATTTTTTTATTTGTTATTACTTTAATAAGTGAGTTATTACTTAAGTATAATAGTAAATAAAAAATTTAATATAAATACATATATTTCTATAATATAATTTATATATATAAATTATATTTTGCAAATATAGTAATGATTATAAAGCAATGAGATTATAAAGTAAATGAGAATAACTCATCCTACATTTTCGTGTACACATGCAAATGTAGAATGAACTACTCTCGTTTACTAGGCTTCCAAATTGATATCTAAACATTCACTTATATTCTTTTATCCAATGTGAAATCCGGTCTGGTCTAATTTTAGGTAAAAAGCAATCCGTATATATATTTTCACAATTATATTTTCATAGTAAAACGCTTGTAACATATGCTACACCGCCAGACAAGACCGCGCGAAAGCGCTCGCGGAAAACCGTCCGTAAAGTCGTGCACTCATTCGTGCCTTCGCCGCTACGCGGCGTCTTTTCTCGCAGTTAGAATTCCGCTGAGTGAGGATATAAGGCCACGCGCTGCACTGCCAAAACATATTTGTGAATATATACGTATATATGTATACGACCAATGGGTGTCATTAAATTGTTATTGGACACTGTTTAATAGCAGTATTTTATTTTAAATATACTTGGAGACATTTTTGGTCAACAAGTATGTCGGAAAACAACTGTGACTTTTGCGAAAGTAAAGATTTTAGCTAACTCTTTTTAAATTTAAATTCTCATTTTTCAAAATAAAGGACGGTATTCCATAGTCCGTTCTTATATTTAAGACTGTCTTAAGTACAAAGTCTTTTAAGATGCTTTTCTCTTCTTAAGCTTAGTCGGATTCATAATCAAATCTTGATGGTCTTATTTGAATCAAATAAGATCGTGTTTATTAGAAAGTAAGGTTATGTTTTCAAGTCAGTCCGTACATGACTTTAAGATAAGCTTATTATTAAATATTATGGAATTAATGGAAGAAAATTGATGTTATTGAAAAAATATTGATTGATCGTGATTTTCAAGTAGAGAGAGATCGTGTACGAAAATGATACATTCGTGATGGACTTTTTAAAACCCTTTTATAATAATTTACAATTTAAAAGACGCTGTAGATTAATAAGGATTCCTCCTATATGGAATATTACCAAAAATTGAAGAAGGATTTTAGCAAAAATTAACAATCGTGGTCTGCCGATTCCACCAGTACAATACAAATTGTTAATATGCTTAAGATACTACGCAACACACACACACACACAGAGAGAGAGAGAGAGGGGTGTGTCTAAAAATAAATATATTAATAAAATTTATCTTTATTATTTTTATTATTTCATTTACTGGATTATTTTCTTTTTCAGCATCATCAGTCTCATTACTGCTTGAGTCTGTAACATTCAATTGTCATTGTCTCATAAATTCTAAATTCTTATTCATAAACAAATATATTAATAGAAAATATCAATAAAATTAATTATTTTATCATTTGTATGAAGTGTGACAATAGAATCATTATTAACTTCCTGGAAATCATCATCAATAAAGTCTATGCTCTCCACATTTTCAATTAATTCCTCAGGAATACAATTCATTAATATTCTTTGTTGTCGTTCTGAAAAATATTCATTGTTACTATTTTTTCAATTTTTATTATAATATAAATAAATAAAATAAAGATGAAATTACCTTTTAGTATTTTATCTGATAAATTTGATGAAAATAATGTTGGTGCAATTGTCATTAAATTGGGTGCTATTGCGGCAATGTTCGGGTCAATCTTTGCAGATTTAGGTTCAGGTCCACCACCTGTTGATAAACGTGCATGTTTTTCCTGCGTAAGGATATCTCTCTGTACTGATTTTAAATTACTCCATAATTTTCTAAATTGAACGCTTCTCTGTAATAATTTATTACACATTAAAATGTTAAAAATTAAATTACTTTGAATATAAAAAATATTTAAAATCTAGCTTAAAAATGAAACTATCTACCGCAAATATATTAGATTTTCTTCAGATATAATTAACATTTTTATTTCAAGCATTTAACATATCTAATTAGAAAAAATATATAGATTTTTTACTTTATTACAATAGATATATGCATTGCAAGTTTGATTCCATGCTTCTTCTTGTTTCAAAGTTGTAGCATCACTTTTTTTCAAGGAGAATATTTTGTTAAAATTTTAAGGAAGAATTCTTTTCGGGATCTATATAATGTTTTTTTTTGCTTGATATTTTTTTTACAGTAAAATTACTTTCTAACAATACTTTAGAGTCTGCAATAATTTGATAACATGAATAAATGGTATAGACATACATCTTGTTAAATTTTTCTATATTTAAACATATTTCATTGGCTGATACATCAGAAAAATCCCAAAGATTACTGAAAGTAAATCAGATCATCTTAAGCACTAAATTCAGTAAAAAAATCTTAAATAACAAGAAGTGCTTATTTTTTTATGAAGATCGTCTCATTTTAATTAAAACTATGAATACATGAAATCTCAAGTCATACTTATACAAACAAGATCTTAATCTAGAAAATCTTAAGAAAATGTTTAAGCTTGGACTATAAATACCGTCCAAAGTCAACTCTCTAAAATTTGTCTATTTTTTGGATATTTTTTTTATTCCTTTGATTACTTTAAAATGTGTATCGTATAAGAAAATTATACTGATTTATTTGATTGTGGTAACTTTTAGGTATACTGTACTCGATATATTACATTTGTTAAAAGTATCAAGTTAATTTACGTTTATTGATAAAATTTTTGTGAAGATAGATATAATATATCCCAGGTAGCACAACGTCGTCAATGAGACGTCTTTTTTACGTACGTTTTCGTCAGAACTTACGTCAAACTGACGGTCAGTATGACGTACAAATGACCCTATACTGACGGCCATTTGTCACAGCATAAATGACGTCATCAGATGACAACAGTATGACGTCATCAGATGACAACAGTATGACGTCATCAGATGACAACAGTATGACGTCATCAGATGACAACAGTATGACGTCATCAGATGACAACAGTATGATGTCATCAGATGACAATAATATTACGTCATTAGATGACAATAGTATGACGTTATAATGATTTTAGAATTGCCTTAAAATAATTGCTTAAAAATAACGTTTAAATTAAATTTTAAAAAGAAAAAAATATATAACAAAATATAATTACATAATATATTTATTTATTCATTATATGTACGTTTTACATCATTTAGACTTATGTGCTAACAATTAAACTTTCAAATGATAACAATAAAATGGTTGAGCATCTAGTACTGATACTACCTCTAAACGGCAACAATAAAATAAATTCGTATTTGTAGTATTTATCTATTTTATTACACAGCCTTTAATTTTAAAAAATGCAACTTCTGTCTTACATTTAATTTGAGGTGAGTGAGCCTAAAATGTCTTTATTCAATAATTATAAATATAAAACACGTATATATATATATATATATATATATATATATATATACGTGTGTTTTATATTATATATTTAAACGTTATATGTGCAAACATTTTTACTTGTATATATAAACTATGTGAATTAATAAAAACATAATCTTATTTAAGCTCACTTATCTTAATTTTTAACTATATATATATATATGTATATAGACAGACACCTCTTCAAGTCCGCTGTGCAGCATTTGAGTTTGCTGAACGTCACAACATCCCCAATAATTTTAATAAAGAAAAAAGGTGTGCTGGCGTAAATTGGTTCTATGGATTTCAAGCTCGTAATCAAAATATACCACCGAATCCTGCCTGCTAGCAACCAGCTAGCATTACCCCAAGAGGCGACCGTAATTACCCAACACGTCGGTCAATTGTGGTCAAGTCAGAGATTTCTTTTAATCAATGCAGGCCTAATTATATATTACCTTTCTTAACTTTTATGCTTCCATCTTCGAAGAATGATTGATGAAGTATCCGTCAACTATTCCATTTTGGTTTTAAAGACATTTTTTTCTGAAAATAAAAAATAATTCTTACTGACTGCAATTTCCCCATTCTCCCTTATATATATATATATATATATATATATATATATATATATTGTAAATTCATTATATACACGTGTTTTATATATAAATTTCATACGTATAGTATATATCAAAATTTAACATTTAAATATATACATACATATTTATTTAGAAATATTTCACAAATTTTCTATATGTATAAAACATATTATATATGACTATTATAAGCATATTACATATTTATAAATGCATATTTAATTGATAAATAAACATCTACATTTTCAAATATTGCTTTGTGCGGACCATTGCCTCAGTGCACGCGCGTGACCAGAGCAAACCGGCACGGCAAGGTGTTCTTGACGAGGCACAACTTATAGGTACAACTAATAGAGACGCTCCAGGAGTGACGGCTCCGGGATGGCGAAAAGAGTGTCTCCCACCAAGAATTGCTCAGGCGTCAGGGCATCGAGGTCGTCCGGGTCGTCAGTCAAGGCCTCGAACGGCCTTGAATTGAGGCAGGCCTCGACCTCTGTGAGAAACGTCGACAGTTCCTCAGAGGTGTCTGGCCTCGCCGATGGTGCGTCGCAGGTGATGCTTGACAGCCTTGACAGCTGCTTCCCACAGGCCGCCGAAGTGTGGAGCTGCCGGTGGATTGAAGCTCCACCGTACTCCTCGGTCTGCAAGGTGCCCGACAATAGTGTGGATCTCACGGCCAGCAGCCTTGAAGAGGTCCCTGAGCTGTCGGTCCGCGCCTACAAAGTTAGTGCCGCAGTCGCTGTAAACGACTGTGCCCTCGTCGAGACACGAACCGACGAAAGGCCGCTAGAAATGCCTCGGCGGTGTAGTCGCTGACGGCCTCAAGGTGTACGGCGCGGGAGCTGAAACACACGAATACAACTAGGAAGCCTTTGTAGGCCTTGTGTCCTCGGCCTCTCGTCGTTCTGAGCCACACCGGGCCGGCGAGGTCCACGCCGGTGTGCTGAAATGGACGGCTCGGAGTGACGCGCGCTCTCGGCAGGTCGCCCATCTTTGACCGTGGAGTAGCCGCCCGCCATCGGACGCATGGGTGGCAGCTGTGGATGTGGCGGCGAACCAGTTGGCGTCTTCGCGGAATCCAAAATCGTTGCCTGATGTGAGCTAAGGTGGCCTGGACTCCTCCGTGAAATGTACGTCTGTGGGCGGCGTCAATCACCAGGTGAGTCAGGTGAGATTGCGGCGGCAAAATGACTGGATGTTGTTGGTCGGCATCCAAAGTTTTAGGCGCCCGCTGACTCTCAGGGTGCCCTCGTCATCCAGCATGAAAACCATCTTGCGGAGCGAGCTTCGGGCAGGCAGCGTCCTTCCAGCACGGATGTCCCGCAGCTCTGCATGGGACTCGACTCCTGAGCTAACCGGATCCATCTCGACAGGGCGGCCTCCAGCTCCTTAGGTCCCAGGAACGCCGACACAGCTTCACCATCTGTCGAACGAAGTCTTCGTGGCCTCCAGCGCCTCCGTGAGGCAACGTCTCCAGTTCCTTCAGGGTGTCTCGCCTCGCCGATGGTGTCGTCAGGTGATGCTTGACTTCGGCTGCTTCTTCAGGGCGCCGATGGTGCTCCGGTGGGTGGATTGAATGTCCTCCTCCGCAAGGTCCCGAGGGGCCACGGCCAGCTCCGGCCAGGTTCTGAGTGTCGGTCCGCGCCTACAAAGTTAGTGCCGCAGTCGCTAACGACTGTGCCCTCGTCGAGACACGAACCGACGAAAGGCCGCTAGAAATGCCTCGGCGGTGTAGTCGCTGACGGCCTCAAGGTGTACGGCGCGGGAGCTGAAACACACGAATACAACTAGGAAGCCTTTGTAGGCCTTGTGTCCTCGGCCTCTCGTCGTTCTGAGCCACACCGGGCCGGCGAGGTCCACGCCGGTGTGCTGAAATGGACGGCTCGGAGTGACGCGCGCTCTCGGCAGGTCGCCCATCTTTGACCGTGGAGTAGCCGCCCGCCATCGGACGCATGGGTGGCAGCTGTGGATGTGGCGGCGAACCAGTTGGCGTCTTCGCGGAATCCAAAATCGTTGCCTGATGTGAGCTAAGGTGGCCTGGACTCCTCCGTGAAATGTACGTCTGTGGGCGGCGTCAATCACCAGGTGAGTCAGGTGAGATTGCGGCGGCAAAATGACTGGATGTTGTTGGTCGGCATCCAAAATTGCATGTTTTAGGCGCCCGCTGACTCTCAGGGTGCCCTCGTCATCCAGCATGAAAACCATCTTGCGGAGCGAGCTTCGGGCAGGCAGCGTCCTTCCAGCACGGATGTCCCGCAGCTCTGCATGGTATGACTCGACTCCTGAGCTAACCGGATCCATCTCGACAGGGCGGCCTCCAGCTCCTTAGGTCCCAGGAACGCCGACACAGCTTCACCATCTGTCGAACGAAGTCTTCGTGGCCTCCAGCGCCAGATCCAGGCTGACACGCAAAGCAAGCGACGAAGGCAGAAGAAGCGGTTGAGCTCCTCAGGTTCTCGCTTCTCGGTGGCTGCATGGCATCGTAACGGTCGCTGCTCCGGTAAGTCAGCCGTTTCCAGGTGTCCGACGTCCGGCCAAAAGTCCGCGCGATGGCGGAGATATTCCGGCCCTCGCCACCACAGAGGATGTTGAAGGAGCTTCTTCGGCGACACTCCCCGGGAGACACAGTCTGCAAGGTTCTCCTTACCAAGTACGTGCCGCCATCTTGCATCCTGGTCGTCGCGGTGAATTTCTGCAACGCTGTTAACTACATATGTATTCCATTTTGAAGGATGTCCACGTATCCAGCCAAGCGTCACAGTAGAATCCGTCCAGAGGGTGATCGTCGACTTCTCCAGATTCAAGGAGAGCCGCACATGTTCGGCTAGTTTGGACAGAAAGGCCGTTCCGCAGAGTTCCAGTCGCGGAAGCGATACACGCTTCAACGGGGCCACCTTGCTCTTAGCGACCACTAGGTTGATGCTGAGCAGTCCGCCACTTTTCACTCTGCTGTAGACCACGGCAGCGTAAGCACGTTCGGAGGCATCCGAAAAGCCGTGGAGCTCCACGGAGCTGTATGGTGTGTCGCTGTGCAGTTAGCGTGGCAGTCGGATCTCCTCCAGCGACGGCAATTCCTCCTCGAGGACTGTCCATGCAGCGGCGTCCTCGCATGATAGCGGCGCGTCCCACTCTAGTTGCTGCAACCACGCCGACTGGATCAGCAACTTCGCACGTACGAGAATCGGTGCTAGCCAGCCCAGCGGGTCGAACAGGCGAGCGGTCTGTGCCAGTACGGTCTGCTTGGTCGGTAGGGCCGCTGGAGTCAGCCGGACAGACAGCGAGAAGGTGTCCTCGTGCGGATTCCAGCGGAGACCCAGCACTTAGTGCTCGTCTGCTGGTAGCCGCGCGCCGGTCGTCCCGCCCAGCTGATGCTCGACCGGGATGGTCTCCAGAAGGCGGTTGTATAAGAATATTAATTGTAATATAGATGTATATTAATGCAATATTTATGTATATTTTACATACGTGTAACATTCATCTATCAGTCATCAATAATATGTCAGCATAAGTACATTTTACGTATACGTAGTATATAATTTCAAATATATATATATATATATATATATATATATATTATATATGTATATTAGTAGTAAATAATGCATAATTTATGTATATTATACATACGTATAATATACATCTATTCAGTCATTAATAATATGTCATTATATATACATTTTACATACGTATAATATACGTCTATCAAGTCACAATATATATATATAAATTTATATAGACACTTTTTCAAGTGCGCTGCGAAGCATTCGATTTTGCTGAACGTTACAACATCCCCAATAATTTTAATAAAGAAAAAAAGTGTGCTGGCCTAGATTGGTTCTATGGATTTCAAGCTCGTAATCAAAATATACCACCGAATTTTGCCTGCTAGCGACCAGCTGGCATTATTTCAAGAGGCGACCGTATTTACCCAACACGTCGGTCAATTGTGGTCAAGTCAGAGATTTTTTTTAATCAATGCAGGCTCAATTATATATTACTTTTCTTAACTTTTATGCTTCCAGTTTCGAAGAATGATTGATGAAGTATCCGTCAACTATTCCATTTTGGTTCTAAAGACATTCTTTTTCAGAAAATAAAAAATAATTCTTACTGACTGCAATTCCCTCATTCTTTCCTATAAATATATATATATATTATATATTAGCTTTCTTAACTTTTATGCTTTTACTTTCGAAGAATGATCGATGAAGTATCCGACAAATATTCTATTTTAGTTCTAAAGACCTTTTTTTTTTCAGAAATAAAAAAATAATTTTTACTGACTGCAATTCCTCCATTCTCCCTTATATATATATATATATATATATATATATAGACAGACACCTCGTCAAGTGCGCGGCGCAGCATTTGAGTTTGCTGAACGTCACAAAATCCCCAATAATTTTAATAAAGAAAAATAGTGTGCTGGCGTAGATTGGTTTTATGGATTTCAAGCTCGTAATCAAAATATACCACCGAATCCTGCCTGCTAGCGACCAGCTGGCATTACCTCAAAAGGCGACCGTAATTACCCAACACGTCGGTCAATTGTGGTCAATTCAGAGATTTTTTTAATCAATGCAGGCTCAATTATATATTAGCTTTCTTAACTTTTATGCTTCTACTTTCGAAAAATGATTGATGAAGTATCCGTCAACTATTCCATTTTGGTTCTATAGACATTTTTTTCTTCAGAAAATAAGAAATAATTCTTACTAACTGCAATTCCCCCATTCATCCCTATATATATATATATATATATATATATATATTATATATTAGCTCTCTTAACTTTTATGCTTTCACTTTCAAAGAATGATTGATGAAGTATCCGACAAATATTCCATTTTAGTTCTAAAAACCTTTTTTTTTTTTTCAGAAATAAAAAAATAATTTTCACTGACTGCAATTCCTTCATTCTCTCATATATATATATATATAATATATATATATATATATATATATATATATATAGGGGAGAATAGGGGAATTGCAGTCTGTAAGAATTATTTTCTATTTTCTGAAAAAAAAATGTCTTTAGAACCAAAATGGAATAGTTGACGGATACTTCATCAATTATTTTTCGAAAGTAGAAGCATAAAAGTTAAGAAAGCTAATAAATAATTGAGCCTGCATTGATTAAAAAAATCTCTGAAGTGGCCGCAATTGACCGACGTGTTGGGTAATTACGGTCGCCTCTTGGGGTAATGCCAGCCGGTCGCTAGCAGCCAGGATTCGGTGGTATATTTTGATTACGAGCTTGAAATCCATAGAACCAATCTACGCCAGCACACCTTTTTTCTTTATTAATATTATTGGGGATGTTGTGACGTTCAGCAAACTCAAATGCTGCGCAGCGCACTTGAAAAGGTGTCTGTCCGTAGAACATTTTCGCTAACTTTATCAGGAGACGCGGTAGTGTCTCCGGCCATGTTCAAACCTTAATAAACCTTAAAAGACACTACAAGTCTCATATCCTGCATCATCAAAGTCCATTTTTTGGGGGTGTAGAACTACTAAAATATTAAAAATTTTGAATTGCACGTAATATAACCTGAAAGGCGGTTTCGCCACGAGTAATTTGAGCCAAGAAGAAATAAAATCGGTCAAGCCGTTCTGGACATACAAGCGGTCAAAAAGTGACGTTTTTCATGAAAAATTAAGAAACGTCGTCTTCTTCTCTGTCCGCGTCCGCTGACGTCATCAGGATTATATATATATATAAATCTCTTCTTACCTTTCACTCACACCTCCCTCAACTTCCACCCACCCTTTTCCCTCCCACATTCCGTCCACCCGCCCGCGCTCCCACCTCCACTCCCGCTCCTCTTTCGCCCTAACTCACCCTCTTTTGTCCTATTTTAGTCTTTTCGTTCTCTCTCACCTCTCTCTCACTAATTAATATTTATTTATATAATTGTAACGAAGCACCTTTCCCGACGCCACGGATCGGCTCGTCGGTGCCAGGATTCGGGAAGAGGGGAGACTCAGATTTGCAATAACACGCGGTTGTTCTGGTAAAAGTATAGTTTATTCGGGCCACTTTTCAGGGATTGACCCGTGGTTTAGTCTATCAATACAGAATATCACATAACAGATGAAACGCTACCAGATGTTACGGACGCGGACACGACTTCTCACTACAATTTACAGATAAAAATATCCTAAAAAAATCATAAAAATGAAAAGGTCAGGCCATGTTCAAAAGAAGGTACTCAAAAATTTAAACGATCTAATAATAAATTATCACGAAAAGTAACTGATATGTTATTCAAGGTGCCAGTTCAAAGTGAACATACGTAAAGTGTATATTATCTAAATTTAGTAATAATATATTACCATGAAAAGTAACTGTGATATTTTATTCAAGGTGCAAGTTCACATTGAATATACATACATATAAGTAAAACTGATTACAATTTGATTCTAGAAAATAAGTGCGATATGTTATTCTTAGTGCACAAAATATAATAGTCGTTTATAGAGATTTGATTTGAAATTCATACTAGCCCGTACAATGAAAAATAATTGCTCGTAATTCCAGAGTACCAATTTGTTAATGACTCAGAAAAATAACATGGCGGCCTGCTCTCAAATAACTATGATGTTTCTCGATGTCCATTTAGAAATAATGTCGAAGCTCTTACAGAATAATTACTACAACATTTGAAATACGAAAATTATTACATTAGAAGAAGATAGACTTCTTAAACGTCCACCGAGGTAGACGCGAGAGAAGACCGTCTTGTGCAGAAGGTAATTTGCCGCCGGGTGAATTATTGAACGTAACAAGAAGGCAAACATTATTTTTGGTGGCAGCGGTGGGATTGGCCAAAAGAGATCGTTGAGAGGTCGCGGAGATTGATCTGTGCGATCGGTGTTATTTCATAAGTAAAATTAACGTAAAATCAGTTATAAATTATAAATCTTAAAGCAAAATGTCCCTTACTAGAACTCCTGTACACTCAGACAACTCAGAAAACAGAGTACTCACCCGTAGTCAACTTAACCTTTATTCACAGAATTTAAACGATAAAGAAGCCCAATTAACAGCACAAGCTGAGACATTGCGAAATAGAGAGGAAAATTTACTTACATTTCAACGAACATTAGAACAAGATAGAAACATGGAGGACGGTTCGGTAACCGGAATTTCGGAACAATTAGCTGCACAATTAACCCTTATGGAAAAATTATCAGAACAAGTAACTCGCTTATCACGACGTATAGATATAATCGAACATTCTAACAATATGCAGGGACATTATGATAAAATAGAAACACAAAGACCATCCACTCCTTTGCAACTAAACTCTCCCATTCGCTTGAAAGACGCTATAGATACAATCCCCAAATTTGATGGACATAAAATGTCTGTCCTCCATTTCACGAAAATTTGCGAAAGAGCACTTCAATTAATTCCCGAATATCAAGAATATCATTTAGTTCAACTAATTATTAACAAATTGCAAGGGCATGCCTATGCCGCAATCGAGGGAGTCGAATTTAATAGCCTACGAGATCTAACGCGACGTTTAAAACTTATTTTCGGACCGAACAAATCCATCGATCAATATCGAGGAGAGTTAGCAAACATATTTATGAAACAGAATGAGAATATTTTTGATTACATCGCGCGCGTTCAAGAATTAAGAACGGCAATTATAGATGGAGAAGCCGATGTTTGTGGAAATCTCGACGATGAAGTTAGAGATAACATTGAAAAAAGCGTTACTAACAGTTTTATTAATGGATTACCTTCCGATTTATTAATCCGCGTGAAATTAGAACGGCACTATACTTTTGAACAAAATATCGTTGCTGCTATTCAATTATCCAAAACTTTAGAAGTTGAAAACCTTCAAAAGAAAAATACAATTTTTAATCGCGCTTACACTTCACCTCATGCCGACGTAAACTATCCGACGGCAAGACAAACCGTGAACAACGTTGATAATAACCATCCAATAATTAATAATTCGCGCAACAATAATATTTCTACTACTGCTCCTTTCATTAAGCCTTTGATACCTGGTCAACCCGGACCAAATTATCCAGCCACTAAAATCTGTCGTTACTGCAAAAGTTCCGGTCATTTCATGAGCGAATGTCGGAAACTCGCTTACAAAAGATCACTTGAACAAAATCAGGCTCAGCCTAGTACTTCTTTTGCTAATTCGGGAAACCCCCAAAGCGTTCCGGAAAAATCCGACGTCCGCCGGAACGAAGCCCCGACAAAACGCACACAACCTGCAAACATGATCCTTACACAGCAATCAATTCCAACCACACCACTCGAATCTGCAGTGTAGATAACGAGATTAAACACGACGACTTACCTTCTATCAAACTTATATCCCCACACTTATCACATGAATGCAATTTCATGATTGATTCAGGCTCTGGCATAAATCAAACCATATAATCAAATCATATATATCAAACAACAATTTGTATTACCTCACGTCAATCTAGATAAAGAAAATATTATATCCATTCGAGACATTTCCTCCGAAACAATAGTAACTTTAGGTTCCATAACTATCCACTTGTTAGACAAACCTACCCTGTTCCATGTAATATCAGACTCCATTTGCATTCCCCAAGACGGGATCCTAGGGAACGCTTTCTTCAAAGAAAGAAGCATTATCATAAATTATAAAGATAGATGTCTTTATCACGGCACTATTATCATTCCTTTCATCACCTATGAAGTTGAAAAATTACATCTGAAAACAAGGACTGTTACTCCTTGTTGCATTCATATTTCTAATCCAGAAATACATACTGGATACTTACCTTTACAAACCCTCGCTGACAAGGTGTTCTTCGGAGACGCACTCATTACTCATTCAAACGGAAGAACATACTTACCGGTATTTAATACCACCGAGGAGGATTTCAAAATCGACATTCCGTCAGTGGAAATTTATGATTTTGAATCTCGCGAATCTATAGATATTAACGAGAGTACTAAGACCTTAGGGCTCGACGTACTTTATGAAGATGAAGAAATGGGAAAATACATTAATCGGACCGAAACCTTAGGGCATTCGGTACCTTCTGAAGAAGAGATGGGAGACAAATCCATGTATTGTACGAAGACCTTAGGGCACGGCGTACATTACTTAAACGAAACGACGAAGATGGGAAATTATACTAATCACGCTGGAACCTTAGGGCATTCAGCGCGATTCCAAGGCAAAAAAGAGATGGGAGACAAATCCACAAGATACATTGAAACCTTAGGGCATTCAATGTCTTGCAATGAAGAGCATATTACCAAGAGTCGGGAGACCCCGGTAATGGGAGATGAAATTTCTAATTCCGTCGATTGTGCGAGAACCCTAGGGCTTTTCTCGACGAACGACAATTTTACTAACTCCAATCGACCACACGCTGTCGAACAACTTTTAAGACTTGAACATTTAAATCCTGAAGAAATTGATCATGTCAGGTCAATTCTTACTAAGCATTCAGATAGATTCCATCTGCCTAACGAACCTTTAGGAACTACAAACGCGACTCAACACTACATTCCAACTATTAACGAAATTCCTATACACAATAAACAATACAGGTTTCCTTCTGTCCATAAAGAAGAAATTGATTAACGAAAAAACTATAGGAGACGCCTATCCTCTTCCTAATATAACAGATATACTTGATCAGTTAGGATCAGCCAAATACTTTTCAATATTTGATTTAGCTTCCGGATTTCATCAAATTTCTATGTCACCTAAAGACGCTCACAAAACAGCATTTTCTACGCCATATGGGCATTATCAATTCAAGCGCATGCCATTCGGTTTAAAAAACGCACCTGCTACTTTCCAAAGACTTATGGATAACGTATTATCGGGACTACAAGGAAACGAATTATTCGTCTATATGGACGACATTGTCATTTACGCGCGATCATTAAGAGAACACGAAATCAAATGTGAAAGATTAATGCAAAGATTACGAGACGCGAATTTACATTTACAGCCAGATAAGTGCGAATTTCTAAGGCATGAAGTAGCTTATTTAGGCCATATAATAGGCGCGAATGGAGTCAAACCAGACCCGGACAAAATAAAATCAATAATTCACTTCCCAGTTCCGAAAAATCCGAAAAACATAAAACAATTCCTCGGTTTAGCCGGATATTACCGAAGATTTATACCTAACTTTTCTAAAGTCGCGAAACCATTAACAGATTTATTGAAAAAGGATAGCATATTCAATTGGCAATTAAAACAAGTAGAAGCTTTTAACTCTTTGAAACATTCGTTATGTTCAAATCCCATTCTCCAATATCCTGATTTTACTAGACCTTTCATACTAACTACCGACGCATCAGGGTATGCCATAGGCGGAATTTTAAGTCAGGGACCGGTAAGAAAAGATCTTCCTGTCTCATATACTTCTCGAATTTTAAACACCGCGGAACAAAATTATTCAACAATTGAAAAAGAATGTCTAGCCATCATATATTGTATTAGCCACTTCAGACTCTACTTATACGGAAGACTTTTTACTATAATAACCGATCACAAACCTTTAATTTGGCTACACTCTATAAAAGATCCAACCTCCAAACTCTGGAAGTGGAAAACCAAGCTAGCGGAATATAATTACGAAATTAAATACAAAAAGGGATCACTAAATAATAATGCCGATGCTTTATCGCGAAATCCACCCACTGATTTAGTTCTACCAATATTCGCTTCAGACAATGACGAATCATCCGACGAATCCATATTTTCAAGCAGACCAGGACCTTCCGTCAGATCAATTGAAACAAATGCTTTAATCCCTTACCGCAGTAATAATATTGATAACCCTAATTATGTTAATATAACTGAAAACAATTCTGATTTAGATGATGAAAGTTCAATTTTTAATAACGATAATCACGACTATGCAAATATGTCAAATTCAAATTTAGAATACGATTACGTCGACCCAGTAATTTCAGAAACTATACCAATTATACAACCCCCTCCCGTAATTCCGAGTAAAGTAAGAATACGCGAAGTAAGAGACAACTTATTAAACCAAAAGGATAATCATGTAATTTTTATAAGTCTAGACGGAGGATCACCCTACGACAAAGGAGCCAAACTTTATTCCACTGCAAATCTTTTACCCACATACGAAAATCTCAATTTTGAAAGAGTTAATGTAAAGAAAATCAAATTAAATAATTTAATATCAATCCTGATAAGAACAAACAATCGACTGTCTATAGAACCGCAAACTGTGAAAAATTGTATACGCTTTTTATTAGACTGTGTTAACGAATTACAATTAACTTCCTTTAGCATTAGCAAAACGCATAAATTCGATGACATTCCCTGGTCATACGTTGTTAATCAATTGAAGAAATTTTTTTATGACACCCGCGTAAATATAACTATTTGCCAGAATCTAGTTGACAATCCTATTTCTGCGGAACGCGTAAAACTAATTTCAGAAAACCATGCATCAGCATGCGGTGGCCATAAAGGAGTTACGAAAACATTTAATAGACTTCAACCTCATTACTTTTGGAGTACGATGAAACAAGATATTCAAGAATTTATTAGAAAATGTCGCGAATGTCAGTTAAAGAAATTAACGCGCGTCAAAACCAAGCAACCAATGATTATTACGGATACCCCCGGGACAGCTTTCGATAAAGTTTCACTAGACATAGTAGGGCCATTTCCTATCACGAATAACGGAAATAAATATATTTTAACCATGCAAGATTTATTAACAAAATACTTCATAGCTGTACCATTAAAAGAAGCCACTTCATTAACGATAGCCGACGCTTTTACAAAAGAATTTATTTGCATTTATGGAACTCCCAAAGCTATCCTTACCGATCAAGGTACCAATTTTCTATCAACCTTAATACGCATCCTGGCTTAAATACTCACAAGGTTAGACTATGTCTAATGTGCTTTGCTGTGGTACACTTCGCTACTGTGTTCTTCCCTCTGAGTCTGAAGATCTGAGGAGCCTCGGTACCTCGGTCTGAAATGGCGGCTATGTCTCGTTGTCTTCGGAACCCCGTAGTAATGGCTGGTTAGCTGACTGTTGTTAGAAGTACTGAACTTGACTGTGCTGGCGGAACAACTTTCGGCGAATCACTGCCGTTCCGTGCCGGGTGCAGGGTTTATATACCGTAAAATGTGGCTCGCTCCTCCCATCGGGTGATGAGGCTAATCCAATGGTAAGAGAGATATGCCGGGGAAGTACTGGAGACAATCTGTTCCTGGTAGAGATTGCGACGGTTAAGTCCCGGAGAGATGGCTTCTCAGTAGCGATAGCGGTGTTCCTTTGATGACTCATCGCTAGCGATTTTCAACCGTCTTTTATTCTCGGTAGTGATAGCGGTGTTTCTTTGATGACTCATCGCTATGCTCTCCGACTTTCCTTATCGTATTCTTAGTAGCGATAGCGGTGCTTCTTTGGTGACTCACCGCTATGCGGCTTGCAACGGGCCTTCCTTATCTTATTCTTGGTAGTGATATTTCTTAACGGTCCTTCTATAATGGTTTGCAGGTTGCAACGTGTTTCAGCGTTGCATCATGCATTGCATCATGCTTCTGGAATGTAACGATTCTCAACCGTCTTTCTAGAACCTTCTAGAATCTTCTAGATGTTTCTTGAGAGTAAAGCCGAGTTCACATAATAAAGCGGGTTTCATACCTAATTACTACTTTACAAACGATATCTATATATTTTAGGTATTATTCTTTAGAATATGTCTATTCTTTTTGCGATTTAAATAAAACGTATTACTTCGTAAATTTTTGTTATGGATTAAAATAATCATGATAGACAAGTAAAATTTATCAATTTACATTTATATTTCATAGTTATATGTAAATTGATAGATAACTCGCGTCAGGAACGGATTTCTAATTTTTCCTAATATTTATATCTATCATTTGGAAATCGCGATGGAGGGTTAAAACTTATCAATTTACATTTATATTCCATAGTTTCATGTAAATTGATGGAAAACTCATATGGAGAATAACGCATTAATTTTGTGCTATTATACCGTGCCTGCGGCTACATATGATTTATCGGTTATTCGCCAACTGTCCCTGACTAAGTTTAACACTCAATTTACATACATCTCTTGTAGCTAGATGTAAATTGGTGCTTATTATAGAAAAAATCATAATCAAGATAAAATACCTATATATTCATGGTTGAACTATGATATCCTTATTTGGTAGTACCTTCGAACGTACGACGGATATAATGTTATATTGCATATGAATTTTTTAGTCTCCTAATTTATGAATGAGAGTTTTAAGGTTAATAATATATTTGCTATAGGCGTGCTTATTCTCTAACTTGTATGTTTCCTAACGAATGATCCGGAGCGGAGCACCCTTGTTAATTATGCTTTTTATGATGGAAATATTATTTAAGGGGGGGGGTATGCTATTTAAAATATTTTTTGGGCATTTTTTTTTTAATTTTTTTAAATGAATGCGCAACATCTCAAGAATATTCAGTCAAAATTTCAAGTCGATCGGAGCAAAAGTAAAGAAGTTATGAACGTTTAAAGGACCGTTGCTCCGAGCCGTATTTCTCTACCTCCTTGACCGGTGTGCGGCGCGCTGTCGTGGCACGCTATTGTATTCATTCGTAACCCCTAAATTCCTTTATTGCTGAAAGCGTTTTTTTAGGCAGCCTTGTGTGCATTGAAAACATGGTATATACATCAGTTGCTCGCTGTATGTCGTGTTGAACGGTAGAAAGTGAGTCGAAAAATTTGACTGTTATCGTTCGAGTTCGTTGAATTTTCGGGCATTTTGAACTGTGTTTGTGTTTGAACTGTTACTGAGT